TAAAAGAAGGTCGTCTTCTGGTGGAACCGAGCTTCGAATCTCTTCACGCAAAAATTTCACTCGAAATGAAAAAAAACTCAACAATTATGAAAAAGAGATTCCTCGAAACCCAACTTTTCTTGGCATAATTTTAAACAGCTTCGAGTGAATATGTTTCGTTCAAAAGAAGGTCGTCTTCTGGTGGAAGCGAGCATCGAATCTCTTTACACAAAACTTTAACTCGAAATTGAAATAAACTCAACAATTATGAAAGAAGAGATTCCTCGAAACCCAACTTTTCTTGGCATAATTTTAAACAGCTTCGAGTGAATATGTTTCGTTTAAAAGAAGGTCATTTTCTGGTGGAACTGAGCTTCGAATCTCTTCACTCAACACTTTCACTCGAAATGGAAATAAACTCAACAATTATGAAAGAAGAGATTCCTCAAAACCCAACTTTTCTTTTCTCGACATGAGGCTGAGTCAGGTCAGCGAATTCCAGTATTCTAGCCGCAATTCTGGCCAGCTCTAGGCGACTTGGCTCCATTACATTTCAAGGATGTTCAGCTGCAAAGAAAACTGATCGGAAAAAGCAAAGTACCAACAAAATCAAGGCTTAACTGGACTTCAATGAATATTCTGCATAACTGAAGATATGAAGACCAAGATGTTGTGGCCTCTGTTATAGTCACAATCTCCTTTCTATTTATACAATTGGGTTGACCTCGTTGTCGCAATTGGTCTTGTTGTTCTCATGACGACTTAGTGGGACGCACCTTGTCCGAAGGCATATGCCATAATAGTTGTCATGATAACCGGCATTAGACAGTCCGAGAGACAAGACGAGTTCATAGTTTGGTGTGGAGAATGGCGAAACTCGCCAATGATGCCGACTACGATGCCGGTAAAACGTCTGAGAATGTACCAATTCCACGGTCCGATTCTGGCAATCATGACAATTAATATGACAGACGACTTCGGACTAGGTGCATTCTACCAAGTCGCCTTGACAACAACAAGACCAAGTTGCAACCACGAGGCCAACCCACTTGTACAAATCGAAAAGAGACAGCGACCATACCAGATAACACAACATTTTGGTGTTCATATCTTTGCCGTGTTGCCAAACAGCAAAGTGATCGTCCATACAACGACCCAAAAACTTGGGAACTTGGAGTGTTTCTTACAAAACACCAACTTCTAATTGGGCCATTCAGTCATTTGGTGAAATAGGAGCTAAAAAGATCCCATAAGCAAGCCTCGCGTTTGTTCATACAACTTACCATTGGAGATATGGTCGCAGTCTCTTTTCGGTTTATACAAGTGGGTTGACCTCGTTGTTGTCATGGCGACTGAGTGGAACTCTCCTCGTCCGAAGTCATTTGCCATAATAGTTGTCATGATAACCGGCATCAGACAGTGGAATCGGTACATTCTCAGACGTCTCGCCGGCATCGTAGTTCTACCAAGTCTCCAAGACTGACTGACGATGCCGACTACGACGCCGGCGAAACGTCTGAGAATGTACCGAGCTCTGATCCCTGGAATGATGACAACCACAATGACAGACGAACTCGGACACGGTGTATTCTGCCGAGTCGCCCTGACAACAACAAGACCAAGTCGCGACCACGAGGTCAACCCACTTCTGCTGTACGACGTTTCTACGTCGTGAAAAGTGTCGTATGCAAAGATTGACAGGTCTGCGGTGCATTCCAGCTGCAATACAGCAATCCGGCAACCTCGACATCTACAAAGACAATTTCTTTTTACGTTTCTTCTCTTATTTATTCAAAGCCAGCGCTTACTGACCGAGGCAAGGGAGGCAAGTTGAGCCCCTTTTCAAGCAAATCAAAGAAAAATCTTTGATAAATTGCGTCATGGCAACATCAAAAAGACGACACAGCAACGTAATTTCAGCGTCGTCTTTTGGTAAGATTTATTTAAAATCCTCTTTCATCTCGTTCGAGTGGATAAAGTAAAACAAAAGCAGGCTATGATACCAACAGCCCAAATGCTCACAGAGTCTGGCTCGAGTTCCAGTGAGTCCGGCCGTCGTGACAACGTCGAGGCCGGAACGAGTGAAGGCGACGGCAAAGGACGATAGTCGTCTTCGTCGACCTCCTCTTGCCGCTCGAGCGACTCGAACGAGTCCGTCAAGTCGATCTGTCGCGGCAGTTCTCTCGAATTGGCCGCCACGTCCTCGCTGAACAGCTCGTCTTCAGTTTCCTGGTCGCTGCCCACCGCCAGGACGGCATCGGCGAGCCGATCCGACAACCGATCCGTCGTCAAGTCGTAGCCGGAGCCGGCCAACTCTCCACTCGCCTGACAACTGTTGACCGTCACGTCGGCCGAGCAGTCACCGTCCGCCCGCGGCGTGGCTGCACTGGCGCTGTCGGCGCTGATCCCAGACGAAGACGCTTGATCGAGCAGCCGGTCGCGTCGATCCAAGATCAGACCAGCACCGATCCTCCTCGCATTGTCTTGATCCTCTCCTCTCCACTCCTCTTCCTCTTCCTCTTCCTCTTCCTCTTCCTCTTCCTCCTCCAAATCACCAATTTCCTGCTCGCCCAAGTGCCTCCGTGACCTGGCCCTGACGACTGGCCGCTCGGGGTTCTAAATTCAACAAGTCAGACAACCAATTCGCATACAGACATACACACATACACACACACACACACACAGACACACACAGAGAAGAGAAGAAATTCGAATCACTCTGCACATAATTGAAAGATTTGCGGTACATGTACACGAAATAAAAATGGCAAAATGTTTTTGCTTCTGTTTCGAAATGTTAGGATCACGTGTTAGCAACTTGGTCGCGTTGCCAGGGCGACTTAGTTGGACAAACCTCGTCCGTTTGACCGTCAACTTGGTACGTTGCCACGACGTTGTCGGCAGCGCAGGAGAGTGAGTCTTACCGAACTCGGCACCAAGTCACAGCTCGTCGAAGCAGCAACCAGTGAAGTTGATCCTTTGGCCAATTGTCTGCTGAACGGTTGTGCTAGCACTCCTCATTTTGCTGTTGCCACAGCAAACTTTGCCAAAAAGGTGACATTTCTTTTTTGAGTGGCAAGTTGTGATGGAGACAGAGAGTGAGAAAAGAGGGTTAGATAGTGGAAAGAGTGGCCAGGACAGAAAGAGGCCGCTCGGGGTTCTAAATTTAACA